CTTCGTGTGGATTTCCTCTGGGTGCTCCGGTTTCCCCCACAGTCCAAAGACATGCGGTACAGGTTAATTGGGTAGGCTAAATTGTCCATAGATTATGAGTGTGTGTGAATGTGTGTGTGGATTTCCCAGGGATGGGTTGCGGCTGGAAGGGCATCCGCTGCGTAAAAACTTGCTGGATAAGTTCATTCCGCTGTGATGACCCTGGATTAATAGAGGGACTAAGCAGACAAGAAGATGAATGAATGAATAATTAGAATCCAGAGATGTTACATTATATAGGCCCAATCCCAATTCTATTTTTGTACCCCTACCCTTACCCCTTCCCTGTGGCCCTTAAAACCGAGTGTGAAGAGAAGGGCTTTAAAATGTAACCCTCAGAAATGGCAATACAGCACCTGCACAGGTTATTATATGCCATTGCGATCTCTTGCTTTATATGAGATTAGACAACCCTGATGCTAGTTGCGTTATTTATTGGTATTTATCTTCAAGAAATCACTAAAGGCATATATTACGTTATCATAACATTAAAATGTAGCAATAAGATTGTAACTATACTGCACATTTACACAGTGGCCATATTCATCTATGAAAACCCACCAAAAAACAACATTAACATCATACCAGACACTAAAAAAGCTCATTCCCAGCCACTACAGTTTTCTGACAGGGTATTCTGGGATAATCGAGTGACAGAATGTCATGGGACTGCTATACAAGAGTTATTATTGTGGATTATAGATAACAACATTTAGCAGTTTTTCTTTTAACTGGGTTTTTGTGGCATAACAGTAAAACACAAATGATGTTATGAATATATTAAAACATGTGCTTGTTTGTTGTAAAAATTCATAATAATGACAAAAAATACTAATTTGTACATCTCCTGACTGCCGGGTGCAGCTATGCTGTCGTTGTTTTCTGTGAAATTTTCTTACCCCTTTGGTTTTGAGTGTGGTCCTGAAAAATCTCCATTCAATGATCTACCCCTTCTCCTTACCCCTACGCCTTTAAGCTAAGGAGAATTGGGACACCCCAACCCCTTCACAGGAATGCGCAAAATTAGGGGTGGGGGTAAGGGGAAGGGCTAATGGGTAAATTTGGAATTGGGCCTTAATACGCATTATTTGTTGCATTAGTTAATGTATGGTGAACTAAAATACAGTTTATTAAAAAGGTTATAAAACGCTATCAAAAATAAATTGCTCATAAATTGTTCATATTATTTAATGTGTTAGCTAATCTTAACACATTAAAGGGGTGGTCCATACTGTATTTTTAAGAGTTGGTGGTGTTCAGAAGATGCAAAGCAACGTGTGCTTATGCTACATTTGTGGAAACTCACGTTATTTGCTCATATATCTTTAATTATATACAGCTACTCAGCTAACATGAAAATGATCATATTTCTTAGTTCCTCTGAAAGGCCCGTCCACAAGAGGCTCTGATTGGTCAGCTAACATAATGTGCTGTGATTCGCCGATCAGCTCCACATCACCAGGAAAAGTGCCACGCCCCTTCTATAAGCACGCACTTTTGTGCTATGTAAACACTTTCAGTCAGAGTAGCTGTTATCCGTGTCAGTTTGAATCAGACAGAAAATGACACAGAGGACACAGCTGAACCTCATGCCTGCTCTCTAAAATAAAATCTAACAAGGGTCTTTCACATATATTTGGAATAAAAATGTGTGAGTAATATGAAACATTCACAAATCTTTCGCAAGTTTGTTATTTGAGATGTAAAACGCAGGAAAAGCAGCCGCATAGAGAGACACTAAATTGTTAATGTAGCTGAATTGCTGACTGCCAAACTGCATTTAACATTGTTTACGTCCTTGCTACAACATACCGTTAATGCTAGAAACTGTGCATGTAGTTGATCAATTTTTACAAAAAATACTTACAGGTTGTGACTCACAATCTAGAGTTTTGTCGGTTGGAGAAGTTTTTAGTCAAATCCAGCACTGAACTGGGAGAGATTCTGGGAGCTAATGCTAGCTATCTTTTTTTATTATTCTCTGAAACATAATTCAAATTATTTCCCAGAGATGGGTTGCGGCTGGAAGGGCATCCGCTGCGTAAAAACATGCTGGATAAATTGGTGGTTCATTCGGCTGTGGCGACCCCAGATTAATAAAGGGACTAAGCCGAAAAAGAAAATGAATGAATGAATAATTAAAATTAAATTGTAAGCTCTTCTCTCTTTGTGCCATGTCCATTGGAAGCCCAAATACAGAAACAGAAGAAGTACAGTGGAAATAGCAGCTTTTGGAAGCGTTTTAAGCGTTTTCTCTGCTACATTACAGCGCCTCTGCGCAGGGTGTATGCACATGGTGAATGAGCATAACACGAATTATTTGTGATCTCACTAGCCTCAATGTATTATAGCCTCCAAACTTCATTTGCTGTAGGCTTTTCTAAGCTAACTCTGTAAAAGCCAATATCTCCCTTTGCATTGAACTTTGAGCATATTACATTCAGAGATGTTGTTTACACAGATACATTACAGATCAACTAAAGTACTAAAATATGATATTGTAGTGGATCACCTCTTTAAGATTGTTTCAAAAATAAAATAGAATTAGAAAATAATGAATAATGAATTAGATGCTACAGTTTATAGAAAATAATCATAAAATGCATTAAAAAAAAACAATCAAACAGGAAAAAGTATCATATCGAGGATCCCTGTGATCTCTCTTGACTGTCAAGTTCAATAATTCTTTTAAAATACATAGACAAATCATGGATTAAGATTGTAATTTAATGTCAAGTATATCAAAGTATCCTCAAAAATGTATGTATCCTCAAATAATGATATTTATGAATTTAATAGTTGATGATTTGTAACAAAACACATTTACTGTACCTTCAAAGTTTAAGGTCAGTAAATATTAAAATACATTTTCTGTTCTTTAAGTTTTATTTAGCAATGATGAGTTCAATTAAACGTTGCAATACTATACAAATACTGGGTAATGAGTTGCCACTTTTTTCTATTGTTGTATTGATTTATTTAATTTTTTTATATAATTTATTGTTTCAGACTTTTAAAAAGTGTCAATAAAAGACATTTCGTTGAACTACAGCATAAAATTTACAACATCAGAACTGTTGCAGTAAAGATCAAGGTCAGAATGACATACAGAGCTGTAAATAAACACCTGTGAATCACGAGCTAATTTACAAATAGAGTATATAGAGGGCTTTTAAAGGCACAATTTGCGTAATTTGTCTTTTCAAAAAATATTTAAAAACCACTAGAAAAGTGTTATTTTCTGAATTAAGTACTTAAATTTACGCTAAATGTTTTAAATAATGTTTCAAATCCAGGGGGAAAAAGAGCGAGTGTTAAATGACATTTGCCATCATTAGGCCCACACAGAATCTGCGCCCACAGAATTCCGCAGATTTTCTGCAGAATTTCCGCAGATTTTTAGCCCATCATTGATTCTGTTTATTTACTTGAGTAAATGTGTGTAAATCTATATTTATTCAGTTTTTTAATTAATCACAGTAATATTATTGACTAATATGAAAATATTAATGTGATTAATGTACAATGCAGTTTGTACAGTCATATTTTCTGTCTTTAGTAGATCTATTATATGAGAGACTTGCTTTGTTTACCAAATAAAGTGGATCTAATTGGATTTGCATTTTAAACATGAAATAAAAGTTAAAAAGGTATTGTTTTTTTTATTTTGTATATTAAGATTTTAGTTATGATACTCCCAAAATAATTCCACAGAAATCCACAGATTTTTATCAAAATTCTCCGCAGAAATAGCAAAAAACGTCCGCAGATTCTGTCTGGCCCTAGCCATAATGCTATGGCATCATACACACCCTCCATTTCCAGTTTGGCTGTAAAGAAAACGGGAATGACTGAAGACACTTTAAAGGGCACCTATGATGAAAATCATCTTTTGGAAGCTGTTTGGACAAAACATGTATAGTGTAGTATAGTGTGTCCACAGTCATATTAGGGTGATATAAAGACGATAAGTCTTTTTTTTTTTTTTTTTAAACACGTTTTGAGGCCCACGGGAACGACTTAGGAATGTTTTCCCACCCACCCAATTGATTGACAGCCTTGTATTAACATGTCTTCATAGTAACCCGTATAATCATACCAACAAGACAGGATGTGAGCAAAGCAACTGGGATAAAAAGTTCTGTTCAGCTCTCTGTGATCATCAATCATCAAATGTGATCAAGAATGAGCTTTTAGAGATTTTACCATCTTTACTTTTTTGCCACAGCCACATGTCAGTACAATTATAAAAGAAAATGCTTAAATCCTGGTTTGTGGACAGAAAAAGTGGAAGTGGTTGACTTTTGCATAATAAAAGCACCGCTGCTTTTCCATACATTCTTGTCTCTTATCAGCAGTTGATTGAGCGGTCTTGTTTCGCTTCGGTGACTTTCAGCCTTAATCCTCTTCATACTACCATGATAATAAGTGGAAACAACTCCCTTGATTCCACATTTGTTCATATCCACACAAAGTTGTTAGTTGTAAATATGCAAAAAATATACCTAAAACAGATATTTTTACAGTATAGAGGTCGATTAACTTTAAAACTTAATGTAAAACCTTAGCTTAAAGTTAAGCTGCTCACACATACAATCTATGAGTCATTTTATTTGGAAGAGAACAATCATTAGAAATTACACAGTGAGCACCTGTTTTAAGCAGACCTCAAGGCAAAAAAAATAAATTAATAAATAAAATTGTTAATTTCAAATAAGTGTGCAGCTGTAATGCATCCAACTGATCATGTTTTACCTGCTGTCCTTTTTATATACTGACAAGTCCAACATATTTACTCAGGTCTTCTATGACCAACAACAATAAACAGATGTTTTCCTGCCCTCTCCCTGCTCACTGTCACAATCTGCATAACATTTTCATGAAAAATTCATGACTGTGACATGTTGCCTGGATGTGCAGATGACGACCCAATAACACCTGATCCCTGTCTGGCAACACAGACTACCTGGCCAGCCGCGGGCGGCTCAGTGAGGTGGATGCGAGGAAGAAGTTCTGGCAGATCCTCTCAGCGGTGGAGTACTGCCACCAGAGAAATATCGTACACCGAGACCTGAAGGCTGAGAACCTGCTCCTGGACACTCATATGAACATGAAGATAGCAGGTAAGAAATGTTGTTTTGCCTGTTAAACTGCCATGACAGACAACTTAATAAAAGGCATCAGTGGGCTCTAATGAAGTTTTCAGACCTGTAGATTGATTGATATGTTACTATATACAGTGCTCAGCATATATAAGTAACTTTTAACTTCATATTTTAATAGAAAGTTTTGCGATATTATATTTGTGCATATACATTGGATTAGTCAGTACTGAAGCCAAATCTGGAGCTCATCTGACAAAGTAACTTACGATAGCGGTCCAAAAACCAGTACACCCAAATTTATGTCATAAAAAATATTAAATACAAATTTAAAAAGGAGTAAAAATCAAGAGAAGAAAATTTTTATTGAAATTTTGGAGTTTTTTTTTTTTTTTTTTTGCTTGAGTTTAATTGTATTATCTTTCAATTTCTAAATATGATGGTGACCTAAATACTATTTTAATATATCTGTTTAATGAATCAAAATACATTGCCTTTATTCACTGAGAAATGGATACAAATATTTTCAAAAAGGGGATGTACTCAAATATGACTATATTTTACAGTTTTACAGTATTTCATTTTCATCTTTTCATAAGGCAATATTTCTAAGTAGGCCTATACTAATGAACTCGCATCTTCTTGGTCAAAACGCACATGTTTGTGTTCTGGTATTTCAAACATATCAGACATCTGTCAGAATGGATAAACAGCAGCTTATGCGTAGTTCAGACTGTGTGATTTTAGCCCAGATTTTGGCTCGCCAACAGGTTTTGAGAAATCGCAGACAAATGTCTGACATCACAGGCAAATCAGTGCTCGTGCACGTGAGTGACAATCACACAGTAGAACTATCAAAGACGAGATCTGAGAGAATCGCCGATGAGTCGCCAATGCCTGTGAGATATTTGGTGTGCTAAATATCTGGAGCTGTCAGCGATTCAAATCATGCCATGTGAAAGTTTTTACTGAAAATAACATCAGCAATCGCCTACAGCCAATGAGAGGTTAGCATCCACTGTGTGTGTGTGTGTGTGTACCTGCAGGCCAGCGGGAGGCTGGGGGAGAAGTTAAAAGTGCTCATTTTCTTTTTATTTGGACCCACGAAATGGAAGAAAAACTAGTGGAGGTTTGACAGGACTCAGGAGCAACTGTGTCTGTTTGACGTTTCATACAGAAAGTTAAAAAAGAAATTAATTTATTATCAAGTTAAGTTGAGGAGAAATGACTAATTCCCTTCAAACCCAGGTGAGCAAATATGTACATTTTGTACCCCATTAAAGGCTTCTTTCTCATTATGTAGTTAATAACAAAAGATATACTACGTGTTTTAGGCTGTGAGACGTAGTTTGGACGAAGTTGTCGGCGATTCTTCCTATAGTAAAGTCATGCAATGTGATAGTCCCTGTCTCCGATCCATCTTGCAGTGTAAACAAAGCAGCGAGGAAATGCTAGCCAAGATAGTCAGGCAGTGTGAAAACATCTGTGACACGATTACTTTGAAAATCATGCAGTCTGAACTCGGCATTAATGTGGTTTTCTTTGAAGCTGTTGTTATTGTATATTATTATTATTATTTGATCTTTTTGAGGAAGAATCAAGAGTTTAATTGTATTTTTATGTATATACACACTTTTATGCATTTATATTTAATTTCAATTTTTACCTCCAATGATTATGAAAATATTATAGCTACAAGCAGCAATTATCAGGGCCAAGAATGCAGCCACATCATAAACAAGCAAGGCATGAGCTATAAAATATGCCTGTTTCATTTACATGCATACACATGTTATTTCTCACACGAACACAGCAAACCATTGATTACTGTATGTCTTACAAAAATCAATTCAAAAAGTTTTGGTCATCATTCATTATAGTTTTAAATAGATTTGTGTAATTGAGCAGCCCTACTTTCATCTGGCCATTGGGTCTGATTGTTTCTCACTACAATTGAACTTTTCATTATCGCCTCAACAAACCAAGCTAAGAGAGAAATCATAACAGACCCTAAAACAAGGAGCTGAAACAAAATGAGCTAGGGAGAAAGAATCCTCAAGTGTTTTAAAAATGATTGAATCCTGAGTTAGCCCGCACAGACAAAGACAAATTGAAGCCTTGAATCATCAAACACTTTCCTCATACCAATTGACTGTCACGGATAGCCAGTTCTGTTTGCTTATTGTAAATTATCTTTTACAGAGAGCTGTTCTGAAGTAAAAGTATAATCTGGTTGATCCAGGTTAACCCACAATTGACATTAGCAAAACAAACACTAGAGCTGTACAATATACCGTTTCGACATTATTATCGCAATGTACAAATCCGCAATATTCACATAAAAAAATCAGCAATGTCAATTCAGTTTAACCTCAGTTTTAGTTTATTCGTACTTTATCCCTAGTTAACCAGGAACAACATTGTGAAGTTTAATCTTAATGCAGTGAACATTTTTATTTGCTTGTTTGCTTTGTTTTTAAGACCTATGACTGTAAGATTTAAAGTGTTTCTAAACCATTTGTGTACAAGAAATTATAATATTTTAACCAAGATTAAAGCCCCACTCAGATAACACGATTTTTATTGTCAGTTACAAAAGTCACTATGTCAGATTATGCAAATTGTTTATTTATTTCTTTATTTATTTATTTATTTTTCTTGATAAAATCTTCACTTGTGGGTAACAAATGTGCCATACTACACATTCCTTCACAATCAGTCATCTTGTGACATCTACGATGAGCGTTATTTCCCAAAGCAGTCACAAATGTTGCTATAACGATATTTCTTATCTCAATTTCAATATATTTTTTAATCTTATTTCAATCTCACTGATTCAAGCACTGATGATTGGAGACCACTAATTACTGCATTATTTAAGGGCATTTATTATGAAATGTATAGGATCAAACTTATGATTACTGTTTAATATTAAGATATTTTCTTTGAAATATAAACGTATATTTTCCAGCCATGGGTTTCTTATTAAACACTCTCTCTCTCCTGAACCTGCAACAAATGATACAGAGAAAATGAAAGCACTTAGGCAAGGAAAAATCAGATGCTCAAGACATAATCTTGACATAAACATTTTCATATGTGCACGAAAAGAACCAAGCAGAGCAAGAAAACAAGCCAACTGTCTTAAAAAAGCACCCTGGATATTCCTTGATATCAAAATTCTCTGATTTTTACATGCTGATTAAACTAAAAGCAAGTCATTTGTTGACTCCTGTGAGGACCGTAAAAGCTTTGTCTAAGTCTAAACATTGCTCTGTTTGTTTAAACAGTCTGAAACCTCAGTTTATTGTGGCTCAGCCAATGGTGTAAGTTTGAGGGTTGGGCTATCTGTAATGAGCCATTCAGTGGAGAAACCCAATCGGTCCAGCTAGTGACAGAAAATTTGAGCTTTTCACCTTTTACCTTGCCTTTCAAGGGCAAACATTAGCAATGATTAAACTCATGCTGTACAACATGAGTTCATTCAAAGTTAGATTGGTTTAAAAATAGTCATATGTGATGCAGACTTGTATTTTATCATGTACAATATTTCTGTAATATCGATGTTGTTTAGTATTATTGAGAATAAATATGTTTTTTCTTTATTATTTAACAATTAATTTGTCAATTATTACTTTTGGTTTTTATTTTAAGTAACATTGTTTAACTCTGGTTAAACTTAACAGGTAGTAAATAACAGTTGTATACATGAGCTTAATGACAAATACTTCTAAAAAAACAGATTATTCTGTAGTTCATGTTCATTTCCACAGTTATTAGTTGCATTAATTGACAATAATGAACCGTTTTTGTTAATAGTTAGAGTTTTTGTTTTGATTTTATTGTCTATATTGATTTAATTATTTTATTTCATTTGGAGATGTAGTCATTTTATATTTTTGTTAAAAATAAAACCATAAATTAATACCAGATTTTTTTTTTTTTTACTTCAAATGAATGGTGCAGAATGTAAGTTTGACACCCAGTGCTTGAACTAGGTATTGCATTCCTTTAATGCTAATATTGTGAGTTTGAATGCCATTCTACATGACATTTATTGCCATACTAATGAAAGCAGCTGCACCTTACCCAAATCAGTGATTCAGCATCTTAATTTAATAATGTTAAAGAGGTTTAATATGTATTAATTACATTATAAACCTTACCATTTTGTTGGAGTGCAGTAAGTGCACTATTCTGTGCTTCTGAATGGCTATATTTAAATTTACGTCGAGTTTCGTCTGGTGCAAACAGCCGAATTGCTCATCACTGCAAATCTTGTCACGTAACGTTTTGTTAGGACACGGGGTTACAGTCTAACCTGCTCATCCAATGTTTATGTTTGTAATATTTATCTTTTTTCTAATTAACAACCACCTCATGTGGAACTCTGAATTTGCGTCTCACTTCAGACGCTGCTGTTGTCCACCGGAGGTTTCATTTTTGTCACGGGCACATGCTTTGGGAGCCTTTCTGAATGACTGAAAGAATGAAATACGTGGTTTTCTATGACGGAATCCTGGGATGCTAAAATATAATTGGCTAAACTGGCATTGGGTGGGTTATCGGAACCAAAACAAAGACAGACATTCCGACACATAACTCACATTTTTAAAGCAGAATATATTTGACTTTAGCATTGTTTTTCAGATAAACACAAATGTTTACTTAGCATGTTTCTTAAATATCTGCAAAAATATTTTGGTATCTTGCTTTAGAAGAGTCAAAAACTTACATAATCATAATCAGTGCTACCTTCAAATAAAACATAAAAAGAATACTTATTGCAGCTAGCTGTGTAAGCAATGTTATCCACTTTGATTTACTTGAACTTGATGTTCTAAATTAAATAAATAAAATTAAATCGAAAACAAAGTTAATTCACACTCTCAATAAAATAATAAATAATTAATAAAAAATGTAAAAGTATCTTGATGCACTAAATAGGTTATCTGAGGAAATTAAGGTCAACTAAATGAGAATGCTAAATGTTTCTCTAACTGTCATAAAATAAGGTATTT